AACTACTTTGCAACTTTTCCTACGGACCAAGTTATAAATAAAGCGGCCGCATCGCCCCGAGAAACCGATCAATCAACTGGAGGGGTGGTATTGCTTAGCAACTTATCGTTCGATGGAAAGAAAGAAAGAAAAAAGATAAAGAAAGGAAAATTTCTATTTTCCCCTTTTCACCATTATTTCGCGTTATTTTTAAATTTCGTCTGGCATGTTACTTCTTACCGTTTATCCCTCTACTCTGCAATCTTCTTTCTCCGACTGCGTAATAACGTGGTATTATTGTTATTACAAATATCCGAGCAATTTCTCTCAATGCTAAAACGCTGAAGCGGTCAAAAGGAAATACGAGCCGTTGTTACGCGATGCACGCGGCTCAACCCCTGTAATTCAACGTTTTACGGTAGAGCAGGTAGTTGCTCTGCACAGAGGTCTTTTCTTCGGAACGAAAATCGACTTAAACATAAGAGAGACGGTAATATGTCAAAGAGGCGACACAGAATGGCGTGCATTCACGTCTATTACAGTGCTGACTCAGCGCGCGCCGTCTGCCTCCAATTCGTTGTTGCACACAGAGAGAATTATTCGCTTAAGTTACCTACGCCGCCTTCTGTCCCACTTTCGATGGAAAAGCCCAGCCGTACACACGATTCGCCAGCGTACGGTACACACCTACTCTGTCCCCATCGAGCGTCCGATAATTGCAAGCGGCGCGATAGATATCGATGCGTTCGAAAATCAAGCAGACGAGCGATTATTCGAAACGAGTGACGAAGAACTGGATGCAACGCGACGTCGAGCGTACAATCGATGCGTCGCGTCGTTCAATGGGACCGATTGTGGAACGAGCGTCTGGCTTTGGTCCGGTTTAATTCGACGGAAAATACCGTCGACGCGAAATTAATCGCGGCCACAATACCTCGTTGACATTTTCGACAGAGAAACCTTCGAGAAACCAACGGAATACGTACCACGGTTGTCGGAGGTGTGTCCGTTTCGTAACGAACCAGAGTAGATACGTAGAATTTCCTGAGAAATAAACCGGAGGATTTTTACAGGGACAAACGCGCGTTAATCGTCCAGTTACTGCGAGATTATTCAGATTCTGCGAGGATTAAGTTCTCTCTGGGTCCCTTGTGCCGGCTTTTCCGGATGAAATCCACGAACGTGCCAAATCCGGAAGACCGGACCTCGTATATCGGAGAACCGGCGTGAAACTACACCGTTCTCGCTGGGAAATATAAAGGTCCGGAGAAGGTTGGTCGTAAATCAAACGCATCCATATTAGCGTTCGTTTAATAAATGACCGTAGCGCAGGGTGGAAAAAGGCCGGAGGAACACTGGTTCGTTCGCTTGTATTTCTAGAGACACGCTATAAATGATCCACGTGAAAAATCAGTTATCGCGGATGTTGCTCGTTAGCACGAAACATCGTCGGAATATTCCACGTCGCGTCGATATATAACACATATGTAGGTTTCGGTCGCTTATTTTTTTTTTTTTTTGCTTTCATGCTACGCCAAACTCACCGTGGACGATCGTAAAAACGAGAAAAAAAAACAAAAACATTTCGACACGGTACAGCTCTAGGAGTTAACGCGGAAAAAAAATTCGCGAATTTCCTATTCAGTTGTATGCATAGATAAAACAGCAGGATGTAACAGAGTGTCGAAAGTTCCACGAAGGGTACAAAAAAAAAAAAAGGAACGGCCACTGAATAGTAAAGTAGCTGTCGGGGGGCGGCGAGAAAAGTCGTTTGAAACTCGTAAAATGATTTCCAGTCTAAGTTTGATACAATTTGCATGTGCAATATATTTCACCGACGCCCTACCACCCTTTATTTCAAGCACAATACCAGTCAGCCCACCACCCCCGTTCTCTTCTACACCTTGACTTCCGCTTTCAGACTGAATCTGCCTCCGCCGGTCTCCGCAACGACCGATTTTCCGACGATTAAGTACATTACACGTAATGACGGAGCAAGGGTTCAAAGGGTACTCTGCACTGTTCTCGAACCAGTGGCCACAATCGGCAAAGCGGTTCTCGCGGAATTCACTACTCCATCTCGCAGAACTAACCGACAATTAACAGCGTAGCGCGGGTGTCCCGTTTAAAAATCAATGGAGACAGAATCGCTGTTCCGTTCGTGTAACGCGATCGAAGGAAAGATCGAAAACACGTTCGTAGACGTTCCCTAAATTCGTAGAGAATAACGCACAACTGGCAAGTCGCGCGAGTGCTATATAGGCATAGAATTGCGACACAGAAACTTTTTCTTACCAAGTTACACGCGTCGGGACCTCCGCATCGCGCATCATTGCCCTTCCAATGGTGGTTGGATCACCTATCGTACGACGACAACATATTCCTCGCGAGCAGCGGACGCGAGAATTGTATATGTATACCAAGGACAATATTCACTGTTAACGTCGACGACACCGTTTCGGTCACGCGAGAGAATCCTAGAAAAACATTAACGCGTACGTCGCGTAGATGGAAAAATACCGGTTACACCGGGTGTCTCGGGGGCGAGTGCGTAAGTCAGAGAGACGAGACACCGGAGAAAACGCGGATAAAACGACCTCTTGACACACCTCTGTGCCAGCGACGGCAGAGTTGATGCGGACCGCGGAAGGGAGGCTGCGAAACTGAGATGAAACCACGGCGCAACCCCGGTGCGCGCGCGCACCAAAACCACCCCCGGAATACACGGAAGCAGCCCGGCCAACCGACACACCACCCCTCGTCCCTTCCTACTTACTTCTCTCCAGGACCACCGTCGACGAGGACGACGATGCTCCCGCTTCCATTTTTCCTCTCTCTCTCCTTTGTCCTCCCGCTTGCTTCCTCTCTGTCCTCTTCCTGGTGTACGACCGCCAAACATTCTCTCAACGAATCGAAACCTCGCTGTTTACCGGCATTATTAATCAATGCTTCACCCTCTCACCTCTGTATCATACATCATTTCTACCTCTTATCCTCGTGTTTCTTCGCTGGAATCAGAGAAGAGGGTTAATTAGGAGAATTAATGGAACACGGTCGTTTCGATCGTTACAAGGTTAAGGTTAAATCGCTAAACATTCCGATTGCTGTTTTATCGTTTGTCGTACAGACCAACAATTACCTGTGATCAGTCTTCAACAGGATAATACCGTCTTCGTAACACCCACGTTGATTAATCTTGGTTGGTAACGGGGAGGGACGATAATTACGCAGATCCACAACGAGGACACCGTTATGACTGAGGACGCTGTGTACCTCGAACACACGTACGACGACACACGAAGAACTCGAAGATCTTGATCTCGAACGTATGTGCGAGGACACACGAAAAGGCTCGAAGTTCTTCAAGCTGATGAATTTCGACGATCGGAGATCTTTCGAGTGAAAAGAGAATGACTGGTCGATACGGCGCACAACAATTGCTCATTTCTACTACTTTAATTGGCAATTACCAGAGCTGTTGGCAAACCCAGGCCTTTTTTAAATTCGGTTAATCGAATCGTGCGTTTGTAGAGAGGCTCTGTCTACTTCCAATTACCCCCCTCGATCCTCACACTGCCGCCGAATTCGCGTTAAATCGCGGTTCGACCGATGCCAAACCTACATCGTTTCGAGAGGGCGATCAGAAAATTCTGGCCAAGTGGTTCGCTATAGGGTGGGCGAAATTTAGTAACTGTGATTTCGCTGGCGTGTAAACTATAGAAATTTATCGACTCGACGAGACGAATTAACGTACGATGACTCTCGATGTAGAATTACCGAACTTGACCCAGTATTCTCGTCCTTATTCCGAAATTAATTCAGAGTATCGTCCCCCTATATCCACCCTTTCTTTTTTCTCTTAATTACTCGAGTTTCCCTTTCACTTTCCTCGAAAATTCGCAAGGAAAATGATGAAAGAACATTTCATTTTATATTCGGATCGTTCGTAAAGGTCCGCCGCACAATCAAATAATCCTCCGCGATAAAGAAGCGTAACATCTTTTCGCAATTTAAGGCGCGCGGAACTTTGTACGTTAGATGGAAACCGAGGAAGAGACGTGGTGTACACAAGAAGGCTTCTCCTCGAGGAAACCTCACGGTAACCGTGCGCCTCGGGATCCTTAATAAAAATGTACGGTCACGAAGTAGCCGTAGGTGGTAAAGATTGATGAGACTGGAGAAAGGAGGAACGGGGTGGTTGCCGAGGCATTTTACTTTCGTCGAATTTGCCAAAAATCAGTCGACGTTAACCCGCGGCTCGCCAGAATTCCAAGCAGCCTGTGGTTCCCATTAATTAACGGGAGAGGAGGTGGGAAGGGTCAGAACAGAGGGTTGGGCGAGGGCTGAACGTAATCGTTGCTTTCAGGCGTAGATTAAAATTTAAGGCAGCGCTCCACGTTCTCGTATACCTCTGTCAAGTTTTACGAGGGCTCCTCTGTAATCATTATATGTATACTTACGAGTCAACGAGAGCACTTTCGAAGCGTGAAGTTGCCCGTTGTCTGCAGAAGAATGAAGTTTCCATCGAGTTTCATCGACCGGTTGAACAAGTTCAATTCCCGCTAAATATCTTCCAAGGGAAACATTTATTTGGCAGTTCCGAAAGCTCGCGAAGTCGTGTCTCGAGTCGTTCACAGGAGCGCCCGTCGAGGGCTCGAAAATGTCGGCCAAGTGTCGGAATCGATCAGCGTGTATCTTGAACTTGTCGTATCCGCCGTGAAAATATTCGTATCTTGCTTAACTACAGGTTGTGTCTCGAGAAATAGAACAGCTAAGTATCTCTAAGTGTGTTGTTTAAAGTTTATCGGTGTGTTTTTACGTGGTACCGTATAGTATATCTCTGACGTGAGAAAGGAGGTCAATGACACAATGGTACCGTGATCTTCAAACGACCTTGGACCGAGAAATTTTGTTTATCGCAACTCTTACAGTACCGGTCCGCGGTATAAAGGTATTTTTCCAGACAATTTCCACCGAGGAGCTCTGGTCCGAGATAAAAAATTCATTCGCCTGGAAGGCAGCTAGAGGAGCCGAGGCTCCGGTCTGGAATCATTCTCGCGACGCGACGTCTCTACGCAGTTCCTTCCAATACTTTCGTCTGTTTCCAAGGATCCTGACAGGGCGTTTCCGTAATTACACAGCCTCCTATTCAGAGTCGCCTCGAGCGTGTCCCAAGATGGCAATCCGTCTCCATTCTTCGACTCGGAGTCGTCCAACTTCCGCCTGGCGTCCAGCGTGCTCCACGTCGGTGACTCCTCCCGGCTGATCATCTCGTCGAATTTATTTTTCTCGATATTACGATCCACGCGCAGGCTGGCCCGAGCCGGGGAACTTCCTGAAATTGAAAAATCGATCGACGTATTGTTTGCACACCGTTACCCCGGCGGGGAGGGGCGGAGGAAGCTTCGTTGGCGAAAAAATGAATCGTGTGCTCCGGGTAGATTGTTGGCCACGCTTTCGTATTAAACGATCGAGCGCCTCGAATCGAGGTAAGGGCAAACAAAGGAGGGGGGAGAGAGAGAGAACGTGAACCGGAATAAAATAATTGACTTAAAGAAGAAACGACGGGATAAAAGTAACAGGGGTTAACTTTCGATCGATTCCCAACTTGGTTGTATAAATAAAATAAGATAACCTTTAATGGCTTCCCATATGGGTGTACGATATTTCCTAAGAGTGATCGTTCCAGCTATGGAGTCGATGGAGGAACTCCAGGAAGAGACAGAGTGTGAATCCCAGATACAAGGACGTTGCCTCATCAATGCATTTCTTCGCAGAGTATCGTGCATTTCCTGCATTTCCCTTTCAAGCTGCTTCTGATGTTCCGCGATGATGCGTCTCTCGCGAACTCCAGGTGATAATCTCGGGGATGAATCCAGGAGTTCTGACTCTGGTCTGGGAAAGACAAAGGGGAGAATCCATTATGCATCGAGAGCCAACCGAGGTGCAACCGTGCCCATTAACTACTCCTTAAAGCTGAGAATCTTCGTAGAGACGGAACCGTACCTCGGCCTGTAGATTTCTCTCGGTGAATTCGGCGAGTCTACGCAGATGGCTTTCCTACAGCGACGAGACGATTCTCTAGCTACCCGTTGCACCATATCCAACATAACTACTTGCTCGTCTCGCGGTAAAATAGCCGCAACTTCTTGTAGAACCTAGTACGAGAAACTGTCCTTGGTTGGTAGCTCGCTTCCTTTGTCTTCTAATAAAAAGTAAGGGTTAAAGGGAAGAAGGATAGATAAAAGGAGAGAGAAGCTACGCCATATTTTCTGAAAGGGTATATTCACGACGCGAAGTCTACCAAAGTTGTTAAATAAAAAGAATATTCCTCCCGTAAATCTTCCGGTAACTCGACGACGCCCAAGTCACCGTTTATTCGATGGGACGAACGAGAGAGGAAAGCAGGATGGCGTCACCGTAGACAAGAGGTTCGGCGGCAGCTAGGATTAAACTTAGTTTCGAAGCGCAAAACGCATTTTCCATAAGCATAAGGGGGTGTCGTCGGGCCTGGTGAATCGGGCTGTCGCTCTTTAAGTAGAAAGTTAGTTGGCACATAGAGGACGGAGACGAGGAGCAAGAGCCAAGAGGCGCGCGGCGGCGAGGCTGCTCCACGAAAGTAAATACGTGTCCACTTTTTCCCTTTTTATTCGCTTTCGATGGTGGCTCTGGAGATACGTACGTCCAGTAGCGCCAGGAACACGACCTAGTCGTCTTTTTGTTCCTCCTTTTCGACGACAGTTTCGTACATCGCAGCGATTCCACGAGAAATCACTGGGAAACGCGAAGAATCGCTGACTCCCTGGACCTAATCATATCGGGAGAAAAAGGGAGAGAGAGAGCACAGCACAGATTGATTGCCACGGCAAACAGAGGGAGAATTTTACAGACAGAATTCCAACAGAAGTTCTGTTGGAATGACGAGCGCTTTATCGGACCTTGGTCATCGCCAGGAATATATCGAACAAGGTGAGTTGAGAAGAGAGAATTGTTTCAGTAGGATGGATTACTTTCAGAAACAAAACCGTGTTTGAGATTTCGCGTCGTCGAAGAGCTACCGCGTTCCCAAAAGTCTTCACACCGCGGCGGAAGTACGCGCAGCCGGAAATTAGCTGAGACAGAAGCGGCTACCTCCCCCGAGGTGTTGCTGCGCGCCGTTGCGAATAAACAAAGCGAAAAATACCGTGACGCCCTTTCGTCTCTGCTCTTCCCTTATTCGCTTAGAAAAGTCTATCGATTCAGCGATATGAACTTTTCTCCACTCGCCTATCCATTCGAGAAAGTGGAGGAAATATCGAACGATTGGGTGTCGAAATGAAATTATTACCGAGATAAAAAGATAAAAGGGATGTTTCTTCGGGAGAGGCTATCGCTTGGATAAAAGGCAGAAAGTTCGAAAAGCTTTGAGGACGTTAGGTTTCACCGTCTCGCGGGAGATGCGAACGCAAAAAAGAATCGAGCGTCGTTTACTCTGCTACGACTACAATGGGGCGGTCGAACATCGATGGCTCGAAACGATGGGAACGTTAATCGGAGCTTCTACAAGAGAATTCTACTCTAACTGCACCGTTGATCTTACACGAAAGTCTCGTTCGATCTTGCAAATCTGAACGTTCCTGAACACCAGAAATTCTTCCTATCTCTTATTAGCAGTATTTTTTAGTCGCGAGAAAGAATTCATCTCGAATGTTCTCATCATACTTACAAATTTAAGTCTTATTCATCCCCGCCCGATCTTCTCCCCCTTTTAAACATACCACCAAGTCCTTCGCTCTTCAACACTTTGCATAATTTTACGTAAATTTTATTTCCCTACTTATTCACTTTGTACTTTTTCATTGCTTTCGTTGCTTTTTGCGATAAGGTTGTATTATTATTTTATTCCCCCGAAAAGAAGTGTTTCTCTTTTGCAGAAATTCTCTGGCTCGGAAGAAAAAAAGTAATTTTTATCAGAGGTATCGTTTTGTACGATCGAAGGAAGCAGAAGGATACCCGATTGGACTGATGTTACTTCATCCGAGGAAAAGAGGATCGAAGTGTTTGGCGGTGAATGGCGTTAGCCGGAGAAAATAGGATCCCAGGATGTCTGTCGAAGAATTTCGTCGTGGCTGGTTGAGGAATATCGACCAACCTGGGGATTGGCAAACCTGTCCACCCTTCTCGCGAGAACTCGCTGACACCTATTAGGTCTGGTTTAACTCGATCCTTCGGCTCCCGCGAATGCTGATACGTTTAAGGTCCTCCGGAGACTCGGTAACCTTTAGAAGGGTCCCTTTGATCCAGCAGTGGAAATCTCGGTGTGGAAGGAAACGATATTCCTAACGGGAGCGTAAAAAAGTTTCGCTGCTCGTAAGTGCTGGATCGTGTCCTGTCGTTTGCATGACTCTCGTTCATCCGTTTCCAACAAGAAGAGAGCAGCCCTCTATCTAATTATCCCACGGGTTACTCGAAAGGTCCCGGCGGGATCTTTCGGGAAAATTAGACTGTCGAAGCCCGTATTAAATTGCCAACTTGATGGATTGATATATCACGAAGAAGCTCGGCTTCCAAATTACGCTTCAATCTTCGATCAAAATTTCTTATCGGAAACGTCTATACACCTTTTTTTTTCATTTTCTCCTCCTCTGCTCTTTCGTTAGCGATATTTTTATTACGATCTTCCTGTTCGCGCCATCGAGGGAAACAGGAAGCTAGCGATGGGATTGCGATACTCTCGGAACATTTTTCGATGCAATCTTTTGCAATATCTCAGTGCGATCGTAGGTAAGAGATACTGTTATTCTTACGTTTGAGAAATTATACAGTAAAATAAAATTTGCGATTAAGAAACGATACCATTGGGTGTGAAGAAAGGTTAGATTTACATAGTATCAACTCCAATACCATTATGAAACGGATACCATTGGTATTGGTAAAATAAAGTAATTGCAAGATCGTAAAGGTGCACGTATCATCGACGACATCGTTTGCGA